GTAGCATACAAAATAAACAATTAAATAGTGTAGCATTTCTGTAGAAAACAGCACAATAAAATTAATAAAAGCAACAGACTTTAGTTTTACCAGGTAACTGTCATGATAGCTGCCATGATTTTACTATGACTTACAACGACCGGAATCACATTTCTATAGAACACTGATCAAACGTTTGGTTATATTTGCCTTTCACTTGCTTTATATGTAACATTCATAGCCCGCCTCACAAAAGTATAAGCAGTAAATGCAATAAAACGCAGAATTAAACGAACTATTTTTAAACCAACAGTGCAACACCAGGCCTTTTCGCAGATGCCCTCCTGAATCAATAGTTTTTTTTTCTCCACTACACACCCTTTCAGCAACGTGCTTTGTTGCAAAGTCAGTACTGCTCTTTCTGTCATTTTTCTAATCTTTTCAAAAGAGACAGTTTAAAACCTTCACTCCGCCTCTCTCTCTTTCTCCCACTTTGCCATTGACATCCAGCGATTGGTCAAGCGCAGCGAGTCGACAGCCAACGACCGAGTCACGCACTACGTAAACTTTTGACCCCTAAACCTTTTAACCCCGCCAAATCTCGCGCCACTTCTAACGAGACTACGGCTCACCTCCACGCTACTCTGGATTAAACTAGGGACACAGAGAGGGGAAACGAGCCTCTATTTTACCTAAGCCATATCTTGATGCTGTCTTATTGCCTACAAATGCATTGAACTATGTTATCTCATTATGTAATGTCCACAGGCACATTTTGTATCCTTTGAGGGTGGTTTACATCACAGGGGACAGTACTACAACGTATATATGGTGGAATTTAGGATAGTATTGTGTTCTCAATTAAAATAACATATTCTAGAGCTAATTCTTTTGTGCAAACACGGCGTCCAGCAAAAACTAAGCAACCTCAATCATCATGATCTTGGTCTAAAGCGGGCTCTGCTGGCGACTGAGGAGAGTTACATCTGAGGGGGGAAAACGTCAAACGAAGTAGGGAGGAGAAAACAGCCTGAATGTATTTGTATTTAGGACAAACTGCTAATAGAATTACTTGAAAGAAAAAAAACGTCTGATAGATTAATTTTGACAACAATAAATACAATTATATATAAATCATCTGACAATGTGTATAGCAAAATTATGCCTTAAATTTTAATGCAAAATGTTAATTGTGATTCCCAATCGCTAACACAGAAGTATTTCACTGTTGCTCTTAATCCTGTTTTATGATTGTAATAACTTTGTTGTTAAGTTATTGCAAATGTAAATTTGCATGTCTTAAAGTTTCGACAAAAATATGTTTTCTCATTGTAACGGCTGGCGTAAATTAATAAACACTGTACGTTATCAATGTTTTCTAATTAAGCAGTTATTTATATTCATAAAAATATTTGCAGTTTTCACTTGAAATTAGCTTAGCTTACTTTTCTATTTTCTATTTAAGTAAGTTAAACCAGGCTATATGAATAATCCGATCGTGGTTTAGGCATGATGTGCGGGCGATGCGAATTTAACTCTTGGTTGTTTTAACTGCCAGCCTTTTCACCCTTACACATAAATGTAGGATGTTTTGTTTGTTGCTTTGGTTTTGGTAATTATAGATAGAATTTATGTTGTAGCTAAAAAGAAAATAATGCTCTATAACATTCTCAGTCAGAAAACCTTTTTAGGACAAACATCGCATAATTTTGCTTTATGGACTAGTTGTATTGTTTCGCGCTTGCGCCTTCGCAGCAGCTCCCGTCTGCTGACCCTTGGATGATCCTGTCCCTATGCATTATGGATGAGATATGCTCGCAGATTGCTCCTATCAATATGCAAAAAGCATTAGTCTCAAAATTGCTATTTAAACGTTTAAAATTGCTGCGTCTACATGGTTGAAACCTAAAGAACTCAGAAATTGATTTTTAGTACCAGATGCTCAATTGCAGGGAATGCTGGAAAATCCTGCAACTAGTCGTATGTGTCTTTGGGCTAACCTTTAAAACCGTTTTCATAAACTGTAGTCTTTGATCCCCCGAGTTTGTGTGAAAACGTATCACACACACCCTGCAAATATTTCTCTGACGCACAAACACACCTTGAATTAACGCCCAGTCACCTTAGTTACCCACAGCGCATATAAACACTCAAGGGATATGGATTTTCCTCTCTTTGCATTGTTATATTTGCACTGTATATAAGTACTTGATTATTGTGGAAGTACTGATGTTTGGCTTTCTGAGTGATTTTTATTAGTAATTTAATTTAATATATTTATTTGTTTTGCTTGCAGGCCGGAGCCCTCCCCACTCATATCATCAAAAAGGAAGCTGGTGAAAAATGAAACGGTAGCCCTCGACTCATGCTCACGACCACAATTTCGCCTTCCTGTTTACGGCCTGAAACTTCCTAACTCTGTTGCTCGGACACATACTCATAGACACAAACGCTACTCTCTCTTGAGGTCGCGCGCTCTCTCCCTCCTCTCTTTCTCACACACAGCAATGCCAAATGGAGGGCTATAAAATCTGTAACACTCATTTGAAGTAGGTTGTAAAACACTCTGAAAGCTTAACATTTATTATTGTCTAGGTAATGTTGATGTTTAGAGGAGCGGGCAAGAACAAACAATTTTTCGATTAGCAAAATAAGCACTAACGTTATTCGTATGCACATAAAACATACAATTTGCTAAATGTTTTCTAATCAAGGCTGAGCTTTTGAAAATAGTTTAAAGTGAGTGCAGAAAATCAATGTCCAACAGATGATGTCACATTCACATCTAGTATGTTTTTTTCTTCAGTTTTGTTTATAATGAAATAGCACATGGACGTTTGTGGGGAGCTAAAATTGTTTTTATTTGTACTTAATACATTGATAAATAGATTGTCAATATCCACAAAAAAGATAATTAAATGCTTAAGTACATGTTGGAAAATTAGAATTGTGTTTTGAAACCATTATTAAAGTTTTGGTAATTATACTTTCAGTCAGATTCCGAGTAAATGATTTAGCTCCCGCTACACTCTGAACATCTTTGGTATGATTTACAAGTCAAATGTTTTTTAGAAGTACAGTCTTAGTTTCTCTGCTGCAGCAACACGCAGCAACACATAAGCAAAAGGTCATTCGCACTGCTATGAGTGTAACAATGAAACAGACTCTAAACAATACACTTAGGTTGAACTCTGAGCTGATTTGAGGCAACAAAAGTGGTCAAATAGAACTATTAAAATATAGCATTTAAATATATAGGATAAAAAAGTGTAATATTGTGACGACTGTGGTATCAAGGTGTATCAAAATACTTTGCTCCAGTTTCTCGTTTAAAAAAAAGTACAGCTATGTGTTCTCTACGCACTTCCTCCCTGAAAAATACGGGGGCGTGGAAGGAACAAAGCTTTTCTTGTAGAACCTTAGGGGAGGTATATTGTCATATTGTTGTCCCTGTGTGTGTCTCTTGTATGTGTGAAAGAGAGTGAAGTCCATGGAGATGGTCTTCAAATTTTCTTAAATATGATTTGCTCTAATGTGTTTTTAACGAAATAAATTTTCACGTCAAGAGTTTTCGGGATAAAAGTTAAGGAGAATTTAAAAAAAATTAAAAGAAACGTTAAAATGTAAATACTTTACACGCGCACGCATCCATACGTCCACATCCATACGTCCACACACACACACACACACACACACACACACACACACACACACACACACACACACATATATATATATATATATATATATATATATATATATATATATATATATATATATATATATATATATATATATATATATATATATATATATATATATATATATATATATATATATATATATATATATATGCACGTTAAGTGTGGAAGACCGTCAGAGTGTATGCCATACTTCCTAGAACTATTTAAAAAAAACTTTTTCATGGCAAAAAAAGCACAAAAACATATTTACCGATATTTTGAAAATGACAATCGAGAAAGCCAATGTTAATATGCTAATGTATTAACTAACCTACACATTGCGATAAGGTCTTAGCATAAGACAGTTCTAATGCCTCTTTTTGTCGTCAGAGAAACAAAATGATTGACACTTCTACTTAAGACATACCCCTCCTTTCCTGCCCACATCTTCCCAGATCAAATCACCATCCAATGCAGACTTAAAATGAACTTACTTTGAGTGTACACGGTTCAGTATCCATATTTCCGCTTTCAAATGGGTAGAACCGGAGAGACATTCACTGACTAGACACTGGCACTGTAGTGGCCTACTGGTACGTTCTTTCTCTCACAACTGACCCTTTAGAATCCCCTCGAAGCAGTTAAACCGTCACTTGCATTCTAGAATGTGAAATATATAGTACATTGTCAACTCCCCAAAACCATAAAACTAACTTTATGGACCCCACGTGACTTTTGAGAGCCAGTAAGGGGTATCTGTCTGTGGCCTGGGCGATTTTTACGATCTAACTTCAAGATAAAACGCTCATCCGTTTGACATGTAAATGTCATAGCTACTTTTTGTGTAGTTTGGGCAATAGGAAAAGCAAAAATACAGAAGGCAAGTGACCGTTGGTACACTGCGGGGACCTCCACTCGGCTCTCAAAACTTAGAGGTAGAGAACAGTTTGGCACGCATGGTAAGTTTAAAGGTTCAGTGTTTGTTTACTAGGACGCAGAAATAAGAGCGTTTGTAGATTATATAAACAATCTGGAAAATGTGTATGTTTCGTATAATTAACTGTATTTTTTAACCATATTCTGTACACGCCAGGTTTAAGGTAAAAATTTTAATGTGCGTTTTCTCTTAATAGTAAGATCGCTATAGCGTTTTGAGTATGAACTGTCAATATAAAACGTCACAGATCTGCATTGTGCCAAAATATTTCTGTCACATATAAGACCTTTCAGAATTTAGAGTTTCAGAGAATATTTGAGTGTGTAATCGATAACTGTCAATCACTGACAATAATTAGATGTCTGGAATGTGTTAGAAGAATAGTCAAGAAAAGTAGAAGATTTGAATATGAGGAACTTTATTTTTTACTCCAAGTTAAACTACAAACAAATACAAAAAGCATTTTGGCAAAATGCTAACAGGCAGATTGACATGACTTTTTTCCACATTGCCGTTTATTCTGCCCACTACAAATAGCCAACTGATCACAATAAAAATGTTCAATATATACAACCTTTTTTGGAACATAAACATGATCCAGTAATATACAATTATATATTTGGAATACAACTATACACACGTATGAACGAGTACAAGAATCTAGCGAGGTCTATTTACACCATTTAATTATTTTTTTTTTTTCAAAAAAAAAATAATAATAATAATAGAAGATTGTGAACACATGACAAATCGATTGTGATTATTTAGACATTGATTAAACAGAGGACCATGAAACATAGGCTTCTGCTAAATTTACTGCAGTCACCTCTAAACTAGAGCTTCACTTCATACAAGGGCAGATGCGTTTCTAAGCTGTAAACTCAAAAGGTAGTTATACACGTGTATAGGTAAATAAGTTATAACATTTAAGAGCTCACATGCTAACTCTCAAGAAAGCATTAACATAGCACTTGACACATAAACAATATTTGTAACAAGAACAACAAGCGTTATATTGATAGCTTCTTTCCCTTCAGTTTTATTTACTTGCCAAAATTAAAGTCACCATAAAAGAACAACATATGAACACTAATTTTTGTTTCATTATAGCAGTACCACAGTAGAATTTTAAAATGCCTAAAACATCCATAACATGCCGAAAGGTGCCGCGATGTACAGTACTCTGTAGGTAATGTTTTGAGATCTCTTTTTCATCTCATTTTCCGCGTAATTTTTTGCACACCACGTAGCAGGTCTTGGGATACAACTATGGTTGGAAAGCGCTACCTGCGGTAGCCAGACTCATGCTCTTCAGTTTATTGTCCTTTTTCCATTTCATCCGCCGGTTTTGGAACCATATCTTAATTTGACGCTCTGAGAGGCATAGAGCGTGGGCTATCTCTATCCTCCTTCTTCGGGTGAGGTATCTATTGAAATGGAACTCTTTTTCCAGCTCTAGCGTCTGATAGCGGGTATATGCAGTTCGGGCCCTTTTGCCGTCTGGTCCAGTCATATCTGAATAATGTGGACAAAACGCAAAGGGGAACAAACATTAGCAATAATCGGCCTGTACATTATTTCAACAACAGTTTCCAACAACTTTTTCCTACAGATACTCATGAGTGGCACGTTTTACACCTAAATGTGTACAGGGAAATCACCAAATGGTACAGTGCACAGCGCCTCACTTTAGGCTCAAGGCGTTTGTTTTTCCTTCGTTAGTTAAAACCTCAAAACTTTACAGAAATAAAGCAGCATTTAACAAACGTAATAATTATTCATAAACGTTACCTTTTCCGCGGCTTGTTTATACAACCCACAACCTCGGCTTCTTCCCATGTTGTTGTTTTTTCCATTTTATTACCGGTTCTCAAACACTAATCACATTCCCACACATCATAAAGCTGAACTTTTCACAGAAACAACAACTTGGAAACCTTCCTGCCTCGCTGCCCTCTCTTCCACCCCGCTCCCATTCTCTTCTCTACAGTTTGCGAGGCTCCACACTTGATAGATTTATGGCATTTTCACGAATATTTAAAATAAAGGCTGTTACTGACGCCACACTAACATTAAACCAGTACGCATTTGCTAACAAAGAAATAAGACATAAACATAATACGTATGTACCATGGCTAATATGTAGTTTCCTCATCCAAGGGAATATTTGGGGAGCTTGGCCATCGGACGTCGCCGAGGTAGTGGAGGTTGCCGTGGTCTCTTGCTTCTGTTGTGTCCGGGGTGCAGAGTTGTTCGCTCTGTGAGACGCCTCCTCGGTCTCCGATGAAGCACTGGCCTCGTCGATTTCTGTAAAATGTGTGTTGCTGTTGAGATTATTACCCGCAGTGGTGGTGCTTTGGTCGGAAGGGGGCGAAGAGCCTTTGGGTCCAAGGCTTTCGCTGTTGGAACAAGGCAGCGGCTCCGGAGACGCGAGCGAGCAGCTTGATGGCTGCCGGAATCGCGTCTCCGGAGCTGGAGACTGGAAGACCCGGGAGTTGTCCCCAACCGCCCCAAAGTGGCCAGTGCTGGTTGAACGATTGACGCTTAGGTCCATTCCATTGTAGTTGTAGCCGTAAGAGCCTGAATGCATGGTGCCGGAGTCCCTGTACGAAGCGTTCATAGCGCTGCTGCTAGTTCCATAATTTAGTAACTGATAGTCAGGGCCATTTGGGTAGCGCCCTGAGAACGAGTTTACAAAGTAAGAGCTCATTTAGGTTGTTTTAGAGGGCTTGATTTGTAGATCTTGGTCGTTATAACGCTGTGCTTCACGATTTATGATGTATTAATGAATTATAGCAATGCACTGTACTTCGTTTTTGCTATGTATGCGGCCAAATATGGGGGTGGGGGTGCGTTTGAGAATCACGTGCTTTTGTTGACCAGTCGTAAATTCTCACTGATGACTTCAAGAGGTAATTCATGCTCTATGGTTACAAATGATGACGAGACGGGGAGTCGTTAGACTTGAGTCAACGTGTTCCTCCCATTGCAGGGATTTGCTGGAAGTAAGCGGACAGCGTCACCTACTGGGAATGAAATTCGTTGCACTCTCACAAGATATATTCTGCGCTGAATGCCACTTTACTTTCTTTTAAGCGTAAATAAAAATTCTTTTGTTTGCATTTTTGCAATAACGTTAATAACGTTTAGAGTACCTATTGACCATTTACACATACAACATCCCACATACTTTATAATGCATGCTTGATATGAAAATATAATCTAATGTTTAACTGTCACATGATTCTGATAAAAGGAAATAAAATAATCGTACTCGAAACACGTAGAGAATATATTAAATGTTAGGCTTTAGAATATCAACTGTTGTGATGATGTAAAAACTTAAGTCTACTTTGGTACGAATTTAAATTTCTCTACCTATAATATAAATTAAAGGACTTAACACTAAATCAATTCAATTGTAAATCGGGGGAATTAAAACATATTTACCTAAATGTCAGTAGCCTATATCTTATCATTGGTGCTACCGCAAATATATTTCTTCAACGTAAAAAGCGGTGTGATTTCCAAAGTTCCAAAGATGAGTTTCTGGTCAGACACTGGATATAAGGAATGTGAGATCATGATTTATGTTCCAAAAAGATATATGGTTTGTTGACAAAGTGCCAATTGCTGCTTCGTGTTATATGCATGGTGTAAATCATAACAAAAACCTATATACACTGTTGGTTTTGTTAAATGCAGAAAAGTACACTTGAAATACATTGACCCAAATATTGCATTGATATTTTAGCAATATTTAAAATCTGGAAATGCACAAAAGGACTAGCAGGTTTACCACCATTTGTAGCCTTCGAAGAAGCGTGAGGCTCTGTAAACGTTGAAAACGTGTAAACGTAAACTCGTTTCTGCGTAGAAGAATAACTTGTGTATCTGGCTTTTATCTAGGCCTTTAAATATAATTCTATAAGCTATGTCTGATTCTGGTTTGCATTTTGTTGACGCAATTAGCAAACTCTACCTGAGATATTTGGGTTATTATCGCTTATAACCCTCCAGGCTCTATGTCTCAGGGTGAGTGACCAGCGCCGACAGGTCAGCTTTCTCTTTTGGTTATCTATTAAAATCTGCTGAACCTTCTCACCTTACACTTTGTTGGAAGTATTTTGGAACCAAGTTGTCAATGTTCAGCCTCTTAATAGTGCAAAAAGCGAAACCAAATTCCTAACCAACGAGTTTTTGTTCATTTTATTTGTTTAATGAAATCACTAAAAGTCTATCTAAAATAAAACATCGTACAAACAAATATAAGCACTTAAAAATATTATCCGCAGTGTCGCACTAGTTTAGAAGTGCAGTTTTACAGCGCTGTCAATATACAGACTTATTTTACGTCGACTTATTTCTCCTTGCATCATTTACGGGTCATTAGATCACTTAATTTGTTTAAGCTAGTTTTCTTGACAAAAATGTATGAAAGTATACAGGCGTTACACCGCAATGAGGACCAATAATTTAACATTTTCACCGTCATCAGCTAACATGTCATGAAGGCGAAATAGTTGCTTTATATTTATTCAAGTCTTTAATAGAAAAAATCCGCACGTATTAAATATGAAATGTAATACAGTGCACATTAATATAAGTAAAGTGTGTACTGTTGCAGACTACTTTCTTTTACGTTCCTTTTGAAACTAGCTACTTCCACACCTTTTCCCCCAGACTCAATAAATTATGTCCAAGTGTCTGAAAGTTTAGTTTGCAAAAAATAGAAGATAAAACATTTTCCGTACAATTGAATTTTTTATTCTTACACAGCTTAAATATAAACACGAATATGACACAAATTTCAAATAGCTTCGTTCCACATGGACATTTCAGTCATAAGAGCAAATCTAAAGTCAGAGTAAGAGCGCACAAAACCACATGTTAAACGACATGTAAAAAAAAAAGAATCACAAAAGAAATTACAATGAGTTACCAGGAATGCTACAGTTGCTAACATGATGGAAAGTCTTCATTTGTGTTATAAGAGAGTCTGGTGCCCTCTATGCCATAGTTTTCTTTTGGAGTATTTTATGATTTAAAATTTCATTCTGTCCTCTTCTCCTCCTCCTCTTCTCCACTGGTTTGTGAACAGTTGATCAGTTTGTTCTCCTTTTTCCATTTCATTCGCCGGTTTTGGAACCATATCTTTATCTGACGTTCAGTCAGGCACAGTGCGTGCGCAATCTCAATGCGGCGTCTTCGGGTCAGATACCTGTTAAAGTGGAACTCTTTCTCCAATTCTAACGTCTGGTAGCGAGTGTACGTCTGGCGACCCCTTCGACCAGCGTTACCGAAGGTCCCTGTCCATGAGATAAAAGAGAATAGTCAAACATTAACACCGTGAGCGTGTTTATTACAATGATAAATGCGTCCGGAGAAAACAGCTCGAGGGTGACATAATGTCAAGAAACTCTATTCAGTGCGATAGGTATGCATCTAAATACACCCTTCAACATTGCACATTTTTGCTATATTACATTTTTAACACACTCATTCGTGTTTCTTGAGAAAATTTGTAATAATTTTTACATTAAATAGGTCACACAGGTTTAGACTTCAATGTACTTAAATTGGGAAGTCTTAAACTATTATTTTGAGATGAGGGAAAAGCTGAGGAAATGTTATTCTACTTATTTTCGTGACAGATATAAACAAAAGATACAGGTCTATTTATATGATCCATATCAAACTTAGAATCTGAACATAGACGCCATGCGCCTACTAGTTTGAGCACTTGTCAAAGTTTTGTTTGTGACTGAAACGTGTACGTGTACACAGATGTCTGTTCACGCTGCTGGTTTTTGGTTTATTTTTGTTATAAAACACGTTACTGTCAACCGGCAGGGCTAGCAAATGATATCTTGTTATAGATAATCGACAAAACATTCAGCTTCTGTTGTTGGCACTGTTTCATAAACTATTGCGTAGTCTTTCAGAATATAATTCATATTTTCTATACTACCACGTACTGTCTATTTTTCTTATAACAAGAAGACACAAACAGCAACAGATGTGTCAAAACAAAAACAATGGTCATTTTTGTAGTAAGACATGCGGTGGTGCAGCAGCTCTTCTGTTTATAATTAGAGAAGCTTATTCGGTGATTTAAATGATATGAGCCTTGCGGCGAACATATTTCTAAACGTCCTCCCTCAAAAACAAGTACTGTACATATGAGATTTCACAGAACTTTACAGGAGTGGCTTTGCTTTCAGTATGACTACGGTAGAGAGAATGCGCATTTGCACTGTATGGGCTTCCGGCATTTTACAGTGAAGCGGTAAGTTAGGCTACGTATAGTACGCACTAGCTACGTATTAAAAATGAAAGGCAAAAAAGATAACATTAACTTACCGTTACATGAGTTCATCCGTTGCATCCAAGGGTAAACCGGCGCTGACGGCTTCTGTTCGTCGGCCTCAGGGTAGATGCTTTTCCCCGTCGAGCCCGTGCAGTCTGTCTTGCGATGATCCTGACTGAGAACGAACGAGTGCTCCTCTATGCTGGCGAGGGCGCAGGCAGGGTCCTTTTCCCTGTAAAAGCTTGCTGTCGCATAATCGCATGGACCAGCGGCGGTTGCCCTGCTGTAAGCGCCGTTCGCTTGTTGGTAAAAGGAGGATGGGTACGCCTTCTCTTGGACACTGGAACCTCCATAAGCAGCACCGGGATAGTGTCGTAAAGGGTCTGTGTATCCGGAGGAATATAACGGTATCTGTCCCAAGAAAGACTCCTGTCCTCCGGGCAGAGTCACTGGGAAAGTTGAGTTTACAAAATAGGAACTCATTGGGAGGGTACGGCTCTTTTGCTTGGTTTATGATTTGTTGTGTTTTATAGTCCAAGTGGTTTAGCTATTAGTAGTTTATCGGAGATTGGGTTTGAGTTGGGGGGTGGGGGGGTGTTCTGGGTGGCTATGTGCCAGTGCGGGACAGAGGGAAACCGTACCATCTGACCAGCCACTGACCAATAGCAAGCGGACGTGCCTGCAAAATAGCACCCTCGAGGGGGGCTGTGATTGCACGCGCCGGGGGACCCCAGAGCAGAGAGCTAGCTTTTTTTAATCCGTTCTCCCTTCCCGTTCCTTCCAATGAGATTGCACAATACGAATCACATAGGAATTTTAAAACGCTAAATTGAATACATCGACACTTTGTGCCACCGCATACAGTCTGCTTTGATCCTATCATACCATTGGAGAGTAGCGTGTCAACATACAAGCCCCGGAGTCGCCGATTTTCCTAGCATACATTATTCCGTACAGTATTAGATAATTATTCATCTTTCATTATTTGTATTTCAAATAGGTAATTTATAGGCCTTATCACACTAGTAAGTCACAATAGATATGATGATCATATTGATGATTGCGGCTTCAGCGCTTTTTCAACACTGTAATTTAATAGTGATTTATAAATGGTAAACGACGTGTTAAAGAAAACCAAAGCCTATATATAAACTGTGCAAAGTAAATTAGCCTGAGCGAAGCTATTTAACAAAAGCAAATACATGTTTAGCTGTTTATTACAAATATATAATAAAAATGAGTGATAACGTTAATTATAAATATTTATAATATCAGGTTTTTAGTTGCGAATGACTACATAACAATCCAAATGTCTCCCACAATTTGTTAAGAAAGAATTTCTGTATAGTGTTGTTAAATAAATTTTATACAAATAAAACTAAAACCTCCACACAGAATTTCGTCCAAGATGTTTCCTCCTTTACAAAAATTAATGGTTTAAGACAGCCAGCAAATAATTCAGCTGTGTTGTAGCTTTTTGTCGACGTTGCGCTGCACTGGCCGAGCGCGTGTGTTTTTCATTAACCAAAAGTACAGTTATGGTTGCCGGGTGTCCTGTCGCTATACGACCAATAAACCATTTGTGGCACAACAAGTGGATATTTTTAAAGGTGGTGCACGGAGGGTTGCGTGCATTTTACTTTCATTTCGGTTTCCTCTGACTAGGATGTTGCGTTTCCCTTCGCATTGCAGTTTTCTGTCAACGGAAAGCGTCTATTGTGTTTTCAATTGTAAAAATGAGAAAGGGGAAGAAGAGCCCGGTCGGTGTTTGTTAATTATTAATGAACAATAACTGCGATCACACGTTCTGTAAATTCTTAAACAATGCCTCCTGAGTTTGTGCTAGTTTTTTTGAGCGTAACTCAAAATACAGGCCTGGAGTGTCTTTCTCCAATTGTTAACTTCATTATTCTTCTCTTTTTACATGCATTTTTACCCTCATCGAAGAAACACAGACGCCAACAACAGTGGATTACAGTGGACTAACAGATTTTATGATTTCCTGAATAAATCTGTAAAAGTCTCTTATTTGGTCATGAGGAGAAAAAGTGACCAATTTCAGGTCCATTTGGACATGGAGTGACACGTAAATTCTGTATAGACATTCTGTACGTTCCCCCGAGCGTGGAGTGTATGTGAGTATGTCAAATGTGCATTAATACATGTGTGTGTGTTATTTTTTTGAAGTCTGTTCTGTTAAAGCGTTGCATATGTAGACCAATAAAACTTTTGTGTAGGGTTTAATTTTTGTTGATTTTACAATTTTAATGTTTTGTTTGTAAATAATTTATTAGCTACTGTGTAAAAAGTTTGATAAGTAAATGTATAAGAGCTCACAAATGCAATTTGGGATGGTGTCAGATATTTGCTTTGTATTACAAATTTTAAAAAGTAAGAGTTCAGTTCTACAAACTCAGTATGTCCGTGTGTAAGATGTGTTTTTACATTAATAATGCTTATGGTTGTCTTTGCTGCATTCCTAATATATGCCGCACGTGCATAAATTGATTTCAGTTTTTTAAGTTTGTATATTCGACACAATAATATGCTTTATGTAACTGTTCAACATTTCAACAAAATACCGGTACCTTTTTTTAGTTTGGTTTAATTACTTCTTTACATGCTTTGTGGTTGAAATGTATGTATAGCAATATATCTGGCAAATAAAGTTTCATTAACAAATGTGTGTGGATTTGACTGTCTTAAGTTAGGGGTAATCAACAAACTCCTGCCTTAATGTGTTAACACAATGTTAATTCAAGAAAGCTATTTTACATCACGAACATGGATTTAGCTGCATTGAAATCCGTGCGTCTTCATGTAGGCTTTGTTAATCGACAAAGCTGTTAGTTATGCAATATACAAAAGGCAGTTTTGGTGTGTTTAAATCATATTTCAAACACGTTTTGTCTAAAAAATAAAAGATTAAAGTGTGTTTATATAATTGTGTTTATAAGTCCATGTCATATTTCTTTAATATTATAGGGATAAACGCGTTATTGATTTTAAGAAGCTTTGCCAGTCACCCATAACAAGGGATTTCGTAGTTTGTGGATGGATAATCATCAAAAATATACCCTACTGTTTTCATCAACAATAATTACGGTTATATCATGTTATAATGTATATTTATGTTTACGATTTTTGTAATTATCTGCGTCGGTACTGAATGGCAGAATTAGCACAAACCATTAAAGTAAAATATGCCGAATCCAAATAAAAGGAGATTGAAAACTTTTAGCATTATGGAAACTCCGTTTTGTGACTAGAATTGCTTGCAAATGATAATACTTAAGGCGCAAACAGCAGAGTTAAACATGCATAAAGACTGAGAGACAAACCACATCACAAATTCATTTTTTCGAACATTAAACAGGATATCATACAATCTCCAAGCACTCCCTCCTCCCTCTCACTTTTTCCTCTCCCCTCTCTCTCTTTCCTATTACTATGCCCTCTATACCCGTCCAAATAAACACTTATTGCTTGGAGTATTTACTTCCCTAAGAGAGAACGCCAAAGAAATAAAAAGGTCAACACGACTTTAAAACTGGCGAAGGATGTAGGTTTTTGCCAGCGCACTCACAGGTCGGCTTGCATTTAGGCCTCGACGCACTCCATTCCCTATTGAGTGTAATAACCTTGGAGCGGTCAAATGCTGATATTCTGGATAGATTACAAGAAGCAAAAGAGCAGAAACGAAGGAATATAACCCTTCAGGCTTCAGGTTTTTTTCTTCTCTCTGTGTGTGTGTGTGTGTGTGTGTGTGTGTGCCACAAATCTCCCCCAAACGCAGACACTTCAAAGAGGAGCAAGAACAGCTAGGAGAATTTACAGCCTCTACATTCTTTTACGTTTCACTGCCACCGGGCCGAAAACCCCTCCCTGTCTTTCCTGTTATCTGCGGTTGCAGTATGTGGGCTTTACTCAATACAAAATTTAGGAGGTTTTATTAATATTTAAGAGCTAAAACACACATCTGTTGGTACGTGGCGAATTTTGGTGTGATTTAGTAAAGAGGAAGACAAGATACAAGGCGCACACAGTTGCATAAGCACTCACATGACAATAAAATGCGCTTTAGAAGAACACTAAAACACATTCTTACACTGCCATAAACCTTACGTCACGCGCTTGCGCGCGCACTCACATTCACGCACGCATACACAAACACACACACAATTCAGCAAACAACAGTGCACTGTAATAAATTCTCTCTCTCTTACACGCTCACACACACAAACCCTGTGCAATAAACACACCCCTCTAAAAGGTCTCTGCTAGCAAATCGCAAGAATGAACACTAGGTGGCGCCAAATAGTGGGGAAATGGCTTATGTGCTTATGTTGTTATCTGCTCCCAACAACAGGGTGTCCAGATTTTTGCACATCGGAAAGTGAAATTAAGAAATACCAATCAATGTTGTTGTTGTTTTTTTTACTACACACACGTTTCGATATATATAAATATAAATAAATGTATTGTTTATCTAAATAATTTGTATAACAGACAAAGGAACGTTCTCAAACATGTGAAATATATTCCAATATTTTTAACAACGATAAATAAATACGGTCAGATAGATAGATAGATAGATAGATAGATAGATAGATAGATAGATAGATAGATAGATAGATAGATAGATAGATAGATAGATAGATAGATAAATAGATAGATAGATAGATCTCAAAATGAATAGAAATAACTATCACACATTTTACCTACACAAATGCCTAATGATAGCATTTTATCAATAATAAAATTAAATTACATGCTTATTTTCACATTTTGTGTATGAAGTGATTCATTTTTTATACATCATAAGGTTTAACATAAAATTTGTAAAATGTGAGCAATTAGACGGCACCAATCCAGGAACATTACATGGATGGAAAGAATAAAAATCAAAAGTGTAAATGTGTCAAACACTTCTAGAAATCATTACATTCTTCCCACAGCATCCGGTAGAATAACCTGAAAGATTTATTCATCTGTTCTGGAAGTGCACGTCGCCCCATTCTGAACAACCCTTGGGTATTTTAAATATTTTACATGCATAATGTGTTTTCTTTAACACTAATAGGTCAGTGAAAGGATTTTTGTATTTTTGCATGCTGTCGTTATTGTTGTTGATGTTGTTATTATATTTTTGCTTATTATTATTATTGTTATTAGTTTGTGCTAATTTATTGTAATTAGCATAATAATAATAAACAACACCAACAATAATAATGATTGCAATTATTATTATTATTATTATTAGACGTGTTTTTATCACATTTATATAAAGCTTTAAATGTCGCACTAGATTAATATCTCAAACATAATAGCTCAGGAATATAAAATCCGATTGGCAAGACACCAGCTTTTGTCAAACCTCGCCCTGTCGTCGCTGCCACGGCTGCGCTCCATTCCATAAATATAGTAATGCAAAGGACTAATCTGAAATCTCTTCATATGCATCCATGTAAATGCACCTCATGCATTAGGTCTAAACACCTTAGCCCTCACCGGAGGGAAACACAAGGAAAAGCAGCCAAACGCTTATTTCTGCTCCACCCAAGATGGAAATGAAAAATTGGATTTAGATCGTGTTTACTAATAAGCCGCGCGTGCACATCCGCTTAGAAATAGAGTACTTTCGTCCAGTGCGCATGATTAGACATGGTCGAGCTCTTACCTCAGAAAAACGGCGCGGTTGCGAGACAATGTCAGACTTACCTTTGTTGATAATTCGTCACTCAGCTCCAAGACTCCAAGAGAGGCGCAAACCTCTCGCCGTGGCTTGCGCTCGGTAAGTCCTGTTGCTACTCTTGGTCCCGCCATTAGAGCGAAGCAGTGAAAATGACAGCGGCACCACAGCTTCCATCCGTTTCACCCGCTTTAGTCAACGGGAGTCAGACCCCGTATGAAAAATTAGATGAGACCCTACTGCGTGTCCATATCTCAATAAAGACTCCATCACAGTGGTTATCCCAATCACAGACGGCCACATTAGCATAGCAGAGCGGAGAGGAGGCTTTTCTCTCCATCTTCGTTCTGAGGACATCAAGCCTGAGCGATGCTCTCCGACTATGTATTTTCAGAGTTGTTCAAAATACACTAAAAAAAAGAGGAAGAACCTTTAAGGAGCACAGTGAAGCTACATTAAGTGCGGCGGCCAAAAGAATGCTGCAATATAACCACTTGGGAAATCATAAAAAGTTCATGTTCACGGTTACTCGTCCACATGACCATCCTCGGCCAATCCCAGGACCCAGGCACTCATAAAGTTCTATCACAAAGTTGTAAATTTTCATAAAACAACAAGGAATTTATTGCATTTCTTCATGACTGTTTTAACAGCAGTAGCTCTGCCGTCGCCATCTTTTCTTCACACAAACGCACTAAATATATCCTATTTTGTGTTTTTGTTTCCATGCATTATTATACTTAATATAACTATTAATACTCATTTTTTTGTCAAACGTTTATAGCAATATATCTGAGCGTGTTTGTATTTTTGAAGACGAAATGAAACAATGGTGAGGTTTGACATTTTTACATTTTTAAAGTTTAAAGCAATTTAGGACTGTGAGCTTTAAAATAAAAATGAAGGCATTTAAAACAATCCAGGTAATCAAGTGAAATAAAAAATACAAACAATGAAGTGAAAATAAAGTACAAAATACTATATATATATATATATATATATATATATATATATATATATATATATATATATATATATATATATATATAAGATTTATTTTTAAAGAGACTTGATTGTACGAGTATTTCACAACAAATGATTTAGGGAAAAAATATGTTTGTCACTTTATTGCAGTTGCGTAGTGTTAAACCTTAACAGTTCGACGCTGCAGTAAAGTAAACATACGCAAAAATTTCGCAATGCGACAAAAATAGCAAATATATGGGCTAGCTGTAAAGCACATTAAAGCAGTCTGAATGTTTCTTGCAAACAAATATCTAAATATATAATTATGAGACATCTAAAGTGTTACAGTTTTTTCCAAATCGGAAAAGGTATTGTCACCAAAACCTCAACTGCTGCTAAGACCCCAGAAAAGACCAGCCGCTTTCCCATTCTGCAGGTTTTTTTTTTTTGTCCTTTTTATGGCGTTTCCGGCTTTTTTATTGATGCACTAAACACATTAGTTTACAACCCCATAATATAAACGCCTTCTTTTGGTCTCGCACGATACAGATTCTGTCACTTCTTTAAGCACTCGGCTTGACCTGAAGAAAAAAAATCCAATAAACGAATGCTAAGTCTCAATGAACGAAAACTGCTGTATTAAATTATAACAATACCGAAGTGATGATTATAAAAGCATTACATATTAAAACAAATAATAAATTTTTCTCATTTATTTTACTGATTTGAGATATAATGGGTTATTATAACCGCTAAACCTATTTGTAAACATAATTATATCTAATTGTTTTATTTTGTTTTATTATTTTATTATTGTTTTAAGTAATAATTATCAAAATAGTGTAAAAAGCTTCCAAAACATTTACAATATATAATATACAATATGTTCGTTGAGTAAAATATAAATGTAGGCATATCGATGTTTTGGATGAACTGGGAAGTTGATAGAAATTAATTGACAAATGAATAAAAAGAGATGATGAATAAAAGACTTCAGATTATTATTATTATTATTATTATTATTATTATTATTATTATTATTAATAATAATAATAATAATAATATTTTATTATATAGGGAGAATCAAATCTCCTAAATGTTTTCATGACACCACCCAAAGTGAGATTTTTAACAAATGTAAAATAGAAATAGGCTAAATATTGTATAATGGTAAAATTTAAATGTTTCAAACTATGGAAACTAAAAACAAGTAATTCACTAAAGAAAAACCTTGATACGCAATAATTGAAACATCTTGTAGTCAGCAAAACAGTTTATTCTAAAACAAACACAAATATGACCAAGGGAAAAAAATAACCAGACAAATATTTACACAAAAATACAGAAAAGGGGTATATCAAAATTCGAAATAATTAAAAGTAGCTTGCTCCCTTCTTTGTTTGATCTCAGTGGATAATAGACCGAACGAATAATAGGTCACACATACAAGATTCACAAATGCTATGAAACATATGTTAATAATATAGTATTGTGCCTATATATAAGGAATTTAGGCTATTATACAGTATTAGTATTCACGTCTTAAATGTAGTTTATACATCTATATTAAAATGTTTTAAAATAGTTCGTAGTATTATATTTAATAGTTTAGCACATTAACATCTCTAACATAAGTTACATAGACGATAAAGACACGTTGCCTACAGTATTGTAAGTATCAACTTTTTTATTCAGTGTATCCCGAATTAAAGCAAGTCAAATCAATAATATTTTAGTATAGTCTTATTATGTCTTCAACTTGCGTTGCTACTCATCATCTTCTTCTTCCTCGTCGCCTCCAATTTGATCAGCAGCAGGCGAGCAGCGGTCCGTTGATTTGTTCTCTTTCTTCCATTTCATTCTCCTGTTTTGAAACCAAATTTTGATCTGGCGCTCGGTTAAGCACAGGGCGTGTGCTATCTCGATACGCCGCCGTCTTGAAAGGTAACGGTTGAAGTGAAACTCTTTCTCCAGCTCTAATGTTTGGTAGCGGGAATAGGTCTGACGGCCTCTTTTCCGGTCAGCACCTGTGAAAAGCGCAGAATGAGGTTCAGAAAGCATAACACTTGATTAAAAAAAAAAAATATATATATATATATATATATATATATATATATATATATATATATATATATATATATATATATATATATATATATATATATATATATATATATATATATATATATATATATATATATGCCAGCAAAACTAGTAAGGAAAATAAATATTGAGAAACGCTCATATATTTTTCGATAGTTAAAATCAAACCAGTCATAATGTAAATTCTGATTTAGGACACTGGTTTTCAAAAATTACTGATTTGTTAAAATCATCGAATATGATATAATTACTGATATAACTTAAGCAAAGCTAAAGAAAATGAACAAAAAAAAGAACATTTCCAGTAGGCCCTAGCCTATATGTAGCTATTGTATTTGTCAAAAGGCATTAGGCTTAATTCTTATAGGTGTATTAATGACTTATATTGTATTTGTTTTATTGTCCCAGGGATTATAAAGACATTTTTAGAGATTACGATTAGTGATTGTAAATATGAGATACGATTTATTAGTGTTTTCTTTTTGTCTGCTTATTTGCACATTGGCTATCAGAAATAAAGCAGTGGCCGCCTTGATTATAATATTTACAATTTTATTTTTTAGATACATTTTATTTAGATTACGATTAGTGACTTTAAATATGAGATACGATTAATTCGTGTTTTCTTGTTGTTCTTCTTTTGCACTGTGCCTATCCGAAATAAAGCAGTGCCCGTCTTAATTATAATTTTTACATTTTTAAATTATTTTTGCAAACGTATTTCTTACTGTGGGATTACATAAACTTTAGTAAAATAAATGGAATAATAAATTACCCAAATCTTGCAGTTTGCAACAACACAAGCAATTTACGCAACCGTTTTAACTCTATTGCATGCATTACGATTAAGAGACATAAGCCAAACAAAATCAAAACTTTACAAGATAAAAATGCAATTTAAATATGAAAGAGGAATGTAATACAAAAGCAAATTTATAGTACACAAATACCCCTGCTGTACGTGTATTCTCTGGCTTGCACTCTCCCGTGACTCTAATGGAGCTCTGGCGTTCAGACTTCCTTCTAAACATGACCAAAGTCAACAACAGGATCTAGTTAGTTCCCGTACACATAAGCGCTGAAGTGTTCATCTATCCATTTAGATAAAGAAGCCACCTTCGTAAAATATCCATCTTTTTAGCTGCAGGTTTAAAGGAAAAAAAATCTAACTAGACTTTCACAACCTTGCCCATGCACGGTCAGTGACTTTATGCTGTCCCTGCATTTCCGTTTCCAGCAGACTGTCGACAAATGGGGGCCGCTTTTGAGCTCGTGTGCTTTTTGAACTTTTTTATTGCACTATTTAGTCGTTTGTATCTTACTTCCGTCTTGTCTGCCACGTCGTGTCACTCCTTGTTGATACTAGTCATGCACAAACTGTGCAAATGCCTAAAGAATTTGGGAAAAAATAAAAAACAAGAAAAAAAACAGAGCAAAAATATAAGCGTCGTGCTGAAATGATACCGCTCTTTCCTTCTTAAAGGGATACAAATTAAGTGCATAGATTTTGTGTCTTCACAGAACGAAACGGTTTTACACAAGTTAAAACAAGGACGAGCATTGTACTTGGTCACTGTTCAGGGTCCCTGACATGCACAGTATGAATGATAGACATTGGAAAGAGAATTTCATCTCCTCTGCCTGAATGTGTCTGTTTGTGAATAGTGGAAGAGAAATAAAGAGAAAGACAGAGCCCATCTATGTGAAATATCAAACGAGAGCACGAAATGGCAGCTGGCCTTTATAAGTAAAAGCATGAAAGCCAGTGGTTAGGAGCTAGGGCTTATAGTATATATACGTGACGTGTAGATGTCTGAGGTTTAAAAAAAATAGAAATAAATAGAAGACTGATTACATGTGTTCGTACTCGCGGATGTTTATTGTAGGGCCTGATTTTATTTAATTCAGTTTTTGATGCACTATAAGACCAAATATGCAATCTTTACAGCTGGTTTGACGTGATGTTAGTGGAATAATCGTCTTTTAAAAATCTTTAAAAAATAGTAATAAACAATAAAAATAGCATAATTTATAACAGTGCTGTTTAAAGTATATGAACATTTGACCTTTTTGAAAGTTAAAAATTATAATAATTCAACAATAATAACAATAATTACATTTTCAAAAGCAGAATAGCCGCCGCTAATGTTAGGATTAAAATAATGTAAATTTTTATTTTTTTTATTTTTATTTTTTTTTTGTATTGGAGTCATAGGTTGATTATGAGACATACATTTCTTTCAAAATGACTGGCATTTCACACAAATCTTCAACAGACAGCGAAAACGTATACACCTTCGGCAGGCAAAGGCTATCTTCCAGCAAATGTCAACAACTTTGCTAATGAGGTATCTGTTTCAAAACTATTTATGTTGTTGTATTTTTACACTAGGAGCTAACAAGAGAAGAAGCGCCCTGGGTTGACAGTTGACTGATAGGAACGTTGGTGCTCGCGGGAAGTTCCTTGAGGGGCCGCAGAAAATCATTAAGAGATAACATGTCTTGCTCTTTTTCAATTTATCAGCTGGGACTTGTGGTTTCAACGTGTGCAAGTGCTATTACGAAAAGGAGCCGGTTTGATAAACCCCCTATTTAAGCAAATATTTTAGCAATGGAACTGGCCTAAGCTCATGAATTGTATGTTTTATTTTCTAGCACATGCCCATATGCACAAGCACATACATGTACATATAATAAACAGACGCATGCCCACGCAGAGATAGTTGAATTACTCTCAGTAAGTTAAAACAAGGGTCCACCCAGCATTAACATACCCTAGAAACGCAGGGCTCCGCCCTCTATATCGAAAATGTAAGGATTTTTAATGACAGAACATACTAACTTGGATCCATCCGGACACGCAGCAAAACATCCAACCATGATGACATGACGTACAATCGCAGCAGTATTTTGGTTATTTGTTAAAGCTAAACATAATTCACCCACGCCTCTCACACCACCGCCTCTTTTTTCCACAAAAAGCTGAATACTACGTACAAGGGATCTTGAATTATGGTGACTAATTAGTCATAAAAAGATTTGAGGAAAGAACACTTTCAGAAATGACTTGGTCGCTCCCCTTAACCTGTCTCCCTCCCCCTCTACATACACAGACGCACACCCCTGTCCTTAAGAAACGTTTAGTTTTCACAGACCTGTGCTCCTCATCCACGGGTAGATTCGGAGGTTGTTTTCGTTGTTTTGATGGTAGCCCCTCTGCTCTTCCTTGCCACTGCTTTGCGCTTTACAGAGATCGCCAGCGCTCACCATGGGTAGATTCGGATGGTCAAACAGAGAGCTGTGCATGTTCAAAGAGACAGCTCCCAGCTCATACGCAGTGGGGTACATGCCTTGAGTATGACTGGAAAGACTAGTACCGTTAGTGTACATGCTCGGCAGGGAGACAGAAGATGATGAAGAGACCGGTGCACCGGTTGAAGCCGAGCCGTAGCCGCTGGCCCGCTGCGAACTGCACGAAAAGGCGCAAGAAGTTTGCTCGGGAAACACGCCAGTAGAGAAGGCTGAACTCGCCACTTGGTATTTGGAAAACAGCGCGTTCGCATAATACAATGAACTCATAATTTGAGAAGTGATTTATATGCTAAGAAGTTTTAGTGTCGGTTTTACGAGGTCCAATGATATATTACAGAATTACAGTCTAGATTTACACCAAAAATCACCCCTTTTTCCTCAGGGGCCACGTGATGGGCAGCACGTGATGATATATCCTCCAATGAGTATACAGCTTCCAAGAGCCTTGTCTAATGTTGAGAAGGGCTGCGTAGCTGACCATCCACATAAATTTGTTAAATTTTTCACTTACAGCCAGCGGTACCTACAGACAACCCAAACACACAGGAGAACAGACGAATCGATAGTCTATTGAGAAGGTTTTTGTAATCACCCAAATCAGAGGCAAGCAATAAATTACTGTGGGTTGCGCAAACTTATGAATGAGTTCAGGTTGTCCAGATTTAGGAACATGGTTCCTGTTTGGGAGGGCAACACACAAATAAGAAATCCATTTATTTCGCTATTGATTTTCAACATTATTTTCTCTCTGTCACCGGTCCTGCCCAAATCCCAATCTCATCATGGCATTTCTGCAATGTCTCTAGCCTACAGTGTGTCTGTGTCAAGCGCATGATGACGGGGGCCCTCACTAGTTTCTGCTTCAAAGGACTACTATAGCCTGAACAGTCACCACAAACTAGCGTTTTCCATAGCGACTGGCTGGTCCAGTGCGTCCCAGTTTCCCTGTCGATAGTTAGCAAGCATAGAGTCTTGTCGTAGAATCTACACTCTCTTAATGTTGGAGAAGCCCACATAAGACATTAATTCACCTGACGTGGTGTGCTCTTATTACTCAAATACCCACATTTAAGAGTGTTCAGCATGATTAAATTTCGTTTTGGGAGTTTTTTTAAATGTAGTTTCACGAGAATAGATGGCTGTTTCTGTTTAGTGGCGTATTACATTCTGTCGTTTTGCAATGTTGACCTGTCAAAATATTTGAGATATCTTGTTCACGTACTATAAATCAAGAATAAGACCACACTACATGACATTTTACTTAGATTTGTAATCATTACCTATTTGTAAACATTCGTTTTATTGTAATATTTAATATTTTATTGTACTATTCCACATCTCATATGGAGTTAGTTTAACAAAAACACAATTTTGTCTGGTAACCGATAAGATTTTGACTCGAGCATATATATCCAAACCGCACATAAACGAGAAATGATGTCGAGGACACATAGTGTCACGGATTCTCGCTTGTAAACTTTATTGTGTCCACCTTCTTATGATGTCTTCAGTTGTAGACACTAAAATACAGATAGGAATGACAACAAAACACATAGTCATCTGAAAAATTACTTCACCAGTAAACGTAAACGACAACAATTTGATGCGTAGTAAACAATGGATCACATAACATTTTTTATACTTTTTTATTATGTTTATTCATTTTTATAATTCACTGTGCGCATGCTTACCCCAAGAAAGGAAGACAACAAAAATACCATCGATTTAAGAAGAACCAAAGACGTGTAAAAAGAGATTCTACGGCATAAATAGGCAGTTTCATGTTGTTGGAAGTCAGTAATTTCTACGTCATCATAACATATAAGTGAGAACAGTTAAAAGTGCACCATTTAACTTAAAAACTATACAGCTGCCAAGGTAATTGTTAATGACAATATCCTAACAATAGAAACATAAGTTTCACGATAATTATTCCACAAAGAAAGGAGACTAGCTTTAACACTATCGTACTCTCTGAACAACAGGTAAAAAGTAGAAATGCTTCTTGTCCTTCGTCTTCCTGATGTTCTGTGGGCATCACATTAAAATTATTCATTCGTCAAGTCCCAGTATTTTTTCTGTTCCTTCCTCGAGTGAAAGATGTAACCACCCGACTTGATTACAATGTCTCTATGAGACAAGCCTGTCATGCAAGCACCGTTATTCTGTTCATCATAGTCTGTTTGATTTTCCCTATATATTCCTTGCAATTTTGATTGACTGACACACACAAACACTGCCTCACTCACACACACACACACACGCACACGCACACGCGCACACACATACACATACACTCTCACACACACATACACACACGCTTGCATCCGCTCTACATTTGTTTTGCCTTGTCGCAGTCTTCGCCGGCTGACTGTGTACCGGATGCCTGTTCTTTCTCCCGTTTTTCTTTTTCGATCTGCTCTTGTTCAGACTTGCTGCTTGGAAACTTGTCCTTGTTGTTTTCCTTTTTCCATTTCATGCGACGGTTTTGAAACCAGATTTTGACTTGTCGTTCTGTCAGTCCTAAAGCGTGTGACACTTCAATCCGACGCTTGCGTGTTAGGTAGGGATTGAAGAGAAACTCTTTCTCCAGTTCGAGCGTCTGATAGCGGCTGTAGGTCTGACGGCCTCGTCTCCGTCCGGCAGCTACTGGCAATAAAGAAGTTTAGAGATGTTAGACAACTCAAAATGCGCCAAATCACAATTTTGGAATCAAATATCTTAATATATGTAACCCAAAAAGTCCACAAAGGTTGCATGCTTGCATGAACATCTGCAATTCGTAATGGTGTTGCATTATTAGTTTATGAGTAGGCTTTTATTGTACAATGCAGACTCCCCACAGTCTTACACAGTGATTATTCTAAAAGCTCCACCATTACAAATATAAGTAGGCCTATACCACAGCACTAATACACAATAATGAGCAACACTAACCATACAGTATAGTCGTCAAAAAGCAGTATAAACTATTTCACAGGATCAAATGATTAGGCACAGCCGTAAATGACATAATCCTTGTGAAACTGTGTAGTGAAATAAACTCGGGGGCTCACTGTAAGTCGTTAAAGGCTGCAGTAAAACTTTGACCTGGGTGAGAAGTGAGAGATCAGCTGTGGGGCAAAGTCTCACACATGGAAAGAGCAAGAAGAGAAAAGGGTTTTCTCTCGCCTTCTTCCTCTCTCCCCTGTCTTTGTATGGCAGGGTCATTAAACTGTAAAGTGATTCACAAGTTTTGAACACCATAAAACAATAAAACTGGCTATTGCCCCCCTCCTCTCGTGCACACAGGAAATGCAATTGTAAAGCTAAATTTCACAGAGATGTTTTCGAGGAGCTAACTCGATGTTCTGTCACTTCAACAAACACACACAACGCAGTTGGCTGGCTTTTCTGTCTCACCTTGAGGTCGCATCCACGGGAACAGTTGTGTGGGCGACGGACTCTGTTCTGTGTTGTCCGTCTCGTCGCCGATGCCCCCCGTGGCGAGCTTGCAGTCGCTATACTGAACCAAGTCGGCGTCTTGAGCACCGAAAAGTGTTTGCCTCTGGAGAGCATCATAACCGTAGAAGTTACCCGGCTCGCCGTGACAGGTTACCGCACATGGACTCTGCTGGTAAGGCGCAGCGGAGAGCGTGGATGCGCCGTGGTGGTAAAACTCCTGAATTTGAGGAGCATGCTGGAAAGTGGCCCCGGTGCCTGGACCATACACGACGGTGGGTCTCGTCCCTAGGTCCTGAGCAAATCCGCACTCGTAATAGTTTGGTCGTAAAGTGTCTCCACTTTTGTACTTAGTGAAGAGAGAGTTGACGAAATATGAGCTCATCTTTTACTGCTGTTGGTGGTGGTACTGATTTTGTTCAAGAGATTACGATAGAATGTCTTTATATAAGCGCAGTAGCTCACAGTTACTGAGGTAACAATGTTGCAGCAAAGCGTTGATTTCCAATTACTGGGCGGCTTGCGTGTGTATACCTTTTGTTAAAACAACTTATCTAAAGCTTCCATTGGCATGTTCCCACTGTAAAGTTCCAGCATCACAATTCCGGCGAATGGTGCCAGTTCCCGATCAGTTTTCTATGATTTACTCGGCTGCAAATGAGTAGTTTCATATTTTGCGGTGTGTTTTGATGATCATTTGCATCTTCTGTCTGATCCTCGTTCCACTATGGTTTCTCGCATCCCCACACGGACACCGCTCTGCGCGATTCTGATATGAAGGGAGTGAGAGAATGAAAAAGAGAGAAAAAGAGAAAGCGGGTGAGAGAGAGCTAAGAGGGAGCGAGCGCGAGGGAGCAGGAGAGAGAAGGGGGGCCAGGGGAGAGAGGAGGGGAGAATATGCACATTAATATGTTCAAGCGGGTAAGTTAATGAGAAATCTGCCGCTTTGCATCAGATCAAGTGCATAGCCTCCGCCCCTCCCCCAACCTCAACTTCTCTACTCCAAACCCTTTTGAAAGATTGATTTTTTTTTTTTTTTTTTTTTTTGCATAGACAACCCAAAGTGATGCATATTTAGTCCTTAATTTCCTAATCTCTAATGAAGTCGAGCCTTCTTTTTTAAATGTCAGGGTCTAGACGGCCAATTTTAAAAAGTACACGATTTAATTGGTATCAGATTAAACACATCCAATGCTCATAAGCACGTTCAATTTTACAGGAATAAGCGAACTGACTGTGGCCCGCGCGTCAAAAATAAGCGAGGTAGGCCGAGTCGTATTCAATTCTTTGACAACAATATTCTATTAATGTATTTACAGAAAGAGGGGGATGTTGAAATGGACCTGAGCGTCAGGTGTAATGGTAAATGTGGTTGTAAATGGTTTAACAAACTATAAAATGCAATAAACGCCCCTACTGTTTGTTGTTGACGTAGTGCATCAAAAAGCTGTTAGGCTTTTATGAGGTTCCACGACCAATGCTGTAAATGCTTCACTTCAAATTTTATCCATGCAAGGACTGTAAGTTCTTTAATTGTCATTTTTGTTTTGTTTTCAGTTCAGTGCGCTATAATGCTTAGCACGAGTAGATCTAACACTAGATCCGAGAAGATCCGATTAGTGAAATAAAACGTCAATACAATTTTCCAATGGCAAAAGATAGCAAAGTTAATAAACATATAAACATAAATAAATAAATAAATAAATAAATAAATAAATAAATAAATAAATAAATAAATAAATAAATAAATAAATAAATAAACGATGCTACATTTCTATAACAGCTTAAACATTGTGCGTGGTGCGTTCTGGTGAGGGTAAAATTGCAGATGTCCAATTGTTGTAATGAAACTAGATTCGTATTTAAAAATCATGCCAATATATATCTAAGTAAACATGCAAAACAAAAACGCTCACATCGAACTAAAGCCTGTTTACTTTTTTACTTTTTAAATATAGAAACACGTGCTGCATGTTTTTTACAGCTTCATTTGCTTCTGTAATAAATTACTGCAGAGCGGTTGAAAGCAATATCTCACCCAAAATCTTCACCTTTGTCTCAATGTAACAAATTCCGTTTAAGCATTGTTGACTATGTACAGTGTTAATGTTTATATTACGGGTTGATCTTTAACGAGGTAGCCGCATTTTGTTCTTTCTCGTGCATCTTTTTAAAAGGATAAAGAGTTGTTGTTATTGTTGGTGTTGATGATGATGTTGCTTTGTGTAAAGCGTGATTAGCACTTGGCTTTAGTAAACTGCATGTAAACGTTTTAGACATTGTGTTGTGAATACTTTCTTGAATATAGTTTTTTTTTCAATTACACAAATATCATATCTTTGTAAATAGTGATTCTTATACGAAATTATTAATACAATTTATATGAATATTTTAGTTACTTTTTATTTGTGCTTTGTCAGAGCAATTCAATAATCTATTGTGTTTATTTTGTTAATAAAGCATTTTCTGAACAAAGTTTTGCGTGTTTTGTGTTTTGATTCTACAACGTATATTAAAATCATATTATAAATTAGAATTAATTCACCAGTATTTAAAACAATCACTGAGACATCATATCTAAAATCCAGACCTGTATTTTTTGGTAACATTCAATAAAACGAGCAGAGATATCAAGATAAACAGGTGCAGTTGTTTAATTTATTTCTCTATACTCTATAGACCTATTGCTCCAATTAATCCCAATAAAATAAAATATATATTCTTAGAGTTTTATTTCATTTGTTTATATTAATTTTTTTATTGCAGTTTGTGTGTCGTAAAAACAATGTATATTTACTAGTATGCAAAGAGAAAAAATGAAGAGCGACTGCTTGTTTCTCTTGGTGTTTATCATAAAGATTAAAGAATCATCTGAGCTTAATGTTCTTCGTCTCTTTCAAAAGCTCCACTGTGACGGAGGGAAATTGTGTGAATCTTACTTTAGTCAAGTGTAATACCGCACATGTCTGCAAATGTTTTGGCCCCTGTGTTTCCGTTTTGGCGGCGGAGGGTGATCAGGCAGCCTCTTTTTGGTGGAGCAACATTGCCATCAAGCGTCTGTTGTGTGTTACTCCATGGTCAAATTCCGCTGTAATAAGACGGAAGTTCAAAAGCTAATGGTTCTATAAACAACGAACATAAAAACAGAATGAGCGAATTAACAGCTCAGTAAGTGCAAATTCGATGATGTAAAGTACTTATTTTAATTCTCTATAACAAGGAATCCATTTAAAAACCGACCCCTGTAGTATATAGTCTTGTGTGGTTTTTCACCATATATTGAAAATTAATTTACGTTGAGTTGGAACACTAACACGAATAATGTTAAACTATATATATATATATATATATATATATATATATATATATATATATATATATATATATATATATATATATACATATACACACACACAAAGGAAGTGTTACTTCGATTATTATATATTATAATTATAATGAATAATTAAACAGTGCTATAATAATAATAATAATAATAATAATAATAATAACAACAACAACAACAACAAACCGTCGCTCATATATAGCATTCCCTTAGTGGATTGTGTGAAATTTTCATGTAGGCTACTACCGCCAATAGCATTACAAACAAACAAACAAACAAACATGCTACTACTGGTAATAATAATAATAATAATAATAATAATAATTATTATTATTATTATTATTATTATTATTATTATTATTATTATTATTATTATTATTATTATTATATTTTATTATTCATTGTAATTAATTATCATAAATATATTATGTTCAAATAATTATTTAAAATATGATTTATTGTTCCGTCCAAAAAGTTTAATCTTTGCATAATACTTAAATATGCATTAAAAAGTGTTGCAACTGCAGTTTATAAAATAAATAATATAATATAATATAATATAATATAATATAATATAATATAATATAATATAATATAATATAATATAATATAATATAATATAATATAATATTACATAACATAATAAATATTTAATGTAACAATAATAAAATAGAATAGAGTAGAACAGAATAGAATAGAATGAAACATAAAATAACATACTATAATATAACAAAATATAATATAAAATAATGTAACATAATATTATATTATATAATTTATTATAATATAACATAACATAATATGATATATTATAATATCAAATAATAGAATAGAATAGAATAGAATAGAATAGAATAGAATAGAATAGAATAGAATAGGATAGAATAGAATAGAATAGAATAGAAAACTAAAAACATTAGTTAGGACAGATTTTTTTTTTCTAATGTATTTTTTAATTGCTTTGAAATGAAGACAAATATTTAGATTTCTATTTATTCGCAAGCCATTACATTTTTATTATTACATCAAAAGAACTGGACACAACAAACTGGCCATAAATATTCACATATTTTTACTTTTTATGGTTACAATACGCAGCAGTTTATAATAAACACCTTTTTTCTTTTGTCTTACTTATTTTGTAGTTACATTTTTGACTTTGTTTTAGCTAGAGAATGTAATGTAAAGGATAGTTGTGTTTGAGTAAGAATAATTTTTTTTCTTTTCAGCAACAGGCCTTTTGTATTTCCAAGACACAATCGGATGTGTGCCCACAAAATGGCGAAGTCGAGTCCGCTCCCAAAGGTTGTAAACAAATTAACGTTGGTCATCCCAGACGTCTCGCCAGAAATCCTTTTTGTGGCGGTTTATGGCCCGCTATAAGGACTGTAGTGCGTTCGGAAATGGAACAAAGGGTGGGCGTCGATTGAATTGGGCTCAGGGCTCTCATGTGGAAGTCCAAATCTCACCCATCCCGACCCCCTACCCTGCAAGGAATCTGCACGCCTAAAGAACAAACGCTGTACACAATAAACGGCAAATGCGAGATAAGAGAAAAAACAGACTCCCCCAACGTGGAAACGGTGTTTACGCAAATTATTTTGCCTTAAAGTTATTAGTAGCTTGCAACGATTTTCACATTTTCTTCTTTTTTTCACGCGCAGTGTTTGCTTTACAGCCATTTAGTTCTTAACCTTCAGAAATTTATACCCTATAAAGTTTTATTACAGTCATATTATTTTATTGCGGCGCACCACATTGAATTTCTTTCTCTTTTTTATGACAGTCGACTTCCCATTTCCTCTGAACACCGAGCGTACATCCTTTCTGCAGTTTGTTTCCGTTCAAAACACCAAAATAAAGGGCGTTAATTGTGTGGCAGGGCTCAAAATGTCTTCTTACGCCTACAGTCGCCAGTACAGACTTATGCTGAATTAATGTGTCGAGTAGTCATTTGTGAACACATCTGTGAGCCAGGACAATTGGCTATGTCTTCAAAAACATTTAATTGCTACAATCTGTTGAACGCAGATATTTTTTATATAAATATATAGCTGTCTCCTCTTCCAGTTTACATTTTTTTGCGTTTCAGAATACACAGAATATTGGCTGTTTAATAGTATAGTTAAAATGTGTGTTTTAATAAAATATTAAAGCTAAATACTGTTAAAATTGACTGGATTCTAAAAGAAAGTCAATATTTGCTTAGAATCTTTCTTGGGTGCAGATTTTGGTCCTCGGGTCCTACAGAAAGTTGGCTAATCCAACCAACAGATAGACCTATCTTATCTTTTTCTGTATGCATTAATTTATTACACCTTGCTTCTGCCGACAACATATCTTAATGGTTTTTGATCCATAGCTTACATCTGGAGGATGTGGTATAGCCAAACATAACACGACTAATATCACAAGGGAATAAAATAAAGAGTGCCAAGGAAAAGATGAGTCTTGGTTATTCTCAGTAAATTTTCTTTCTACATATTAGTTGCACGTTTTTTCATTCTGAAGATATGATCGGACGCACGGTAACATATTTGCAACATATGCCTCTCATTAGAAAATGAAGTAAACATAAAGTGCTGCAGCAAAAAAAGAGACAAAAATTGGTTGGCTTGCAGTGAAGCATAACAAGCGAAGGTGTCAAATTGGGTGATATAATTTGTCACGTGCTATAAAAGCAGATTTTATTTTCACCTTAATATGTGTAGATCTATGTGCATTGAAAACCTGTCATAAACACATGCAGGAAAAAATACCCACGCGGAGCCAACTGAATAGCAGATACCACTGGGTGTGCTTATTTGGAGAGAGAAAATAATCATAATTCAGATGTGAATCAAACCGTATCTTTTACAACCTGCAACTGTTTTTAGAAATGACAATACCTGCATTTGTGGTCTATATGTAAACTTTTAATGAGTCCAGCATCAACAGTGCAATGGCACAAAAAATAAAACTATAACATGAAAAGAGACGGAGCAGTTGTGTACAAATAGCCTATAATTTAGACGCTGTGTTGGGAGTTAAATTGGGTCTTTGCATTATGTTTAAACATATTGACGATGTTATTGTTTGTTTGTGTTAGATAGTGTCAGAAAACAGCACTAACTGTTGTTTCTTCCTGAAGAAATTGTTATTTGCCACTAACAATATAAAGAGCGATTGACATCAGAAGATAGGCGCGCTCTATATTTTAGTAAAGTCATATCACAGAAACAAAACATACAAATAAAAAAGCTATATGTAAATACATAAAAGTACATTACTGACAATACAAAGAACGGACATGATTCTGGACATATACATGAAACTTGTAAACAAATAGCAAAATCAAAGGTTACTTGTATCAGCTCATTCAAGTATGAAGTATTGAAATTGTTCTTACAACATATAAAACATTCAATTCAAACGGAAAAAAATATTAACGTATTTACAATAAATTAAAGTTACGGTACATAAAACAGATGCAAATTAATACTTTTTTTCTCAATAACACGTACATAAGAAAACTACACAATACAAGGCATGCGCAAATTTATGTAAACAACTGCGACCAAATCTGTGATTAAATTTGTTAAATTTAAGCACGAATTAATTCTATGGTTACTGGCACGCTACAAACATACACTCGGAACTTGAACTCTAATTTTATATAAGTATTTTAGAAAGTATTTTAACAGAAATGAATAGGTAAACGATTCATTTTTGTTTAATTTAATCAGCTTGATTCTTGAATTTAACCCCAAACAAAACAAACACAACTGAAGCTATCAAGAAACATCTTAAGAAAAACTGGGACAGTATTACTATTATTATTATTATTATTATTATTATTGTTGTTGTTGTTTTTATTATTATTATTATTATTATTATTATTATTATTATAATCGAGTCACCAAAGATGTGTGATGTTTTATAATTGTGCTAATAATTATCAAATTTACTTATAGTACACTTCAGGTTTTGAAAGCCTGTTAGCATACGCACTTTTTAACAATAACTTCACAGATGGCATCAGCACTGCTTATAATAATAATAATAATAATAATAATAATAATAATAATAATAATAATAATAATAATAACTGTGTTGTAACTCACTTGTCGTTTAGCAAACCTCTTGAACATGCTTAACAGAAGCAAAACGTTCCTTGTATATAGAATAAGGCTTGTGTTACATACATTTTCTTTTTCTATTAGCACACGTCAATGACAAAAAGGAATGATCGGAAAGCAGAATTACATAGAACAACTTTATAAAAGAAGAATATTCCAGATTTAGTTAGCTTGTTGAAAGCAGTTCTTAATCACCTGTTTATTTCCTGATGCAATGTTCGTTTCTTTAACACAAGTCATAAAATGCAATAATAGTATAGGGAGAGATGACATGAGGTTTTCATCATCTCACCTCTTCCTTTTACTCTAGACTTAACAATGTCCAGTCATACGGAAAATGGCGTGTGAGTGCGCGTTTGAGTTTTCTCTTGAATGCATTGAAACAACGGTGTATCAGCTTCCAGATTAAAAGACTCCTTGTAAATGGCTCGAACGCCTAGTACCAGTCTGCGTTATTCTTTGGGCTGGTCCTTATTCATTTTCTTCATTTTCATCCTTCTGTTTTGGAACCATATTTTTACTTGTCGCTCCGTCAAGTTCAGTAGACGAGCAACCTCGTGTCTTCGGTCTCGGGTGAGGTACATATTGAACAGAAATTCCTTCTCTAGTTCCAAGGTCTGATATTTCGTGTATGGACAGCGTTTCTTCCGGGATGATCGAGCGTGTAACCAGTTGGCAGATGGGTCGTCTGTAAATGGCAATAAAAAACAAATGCGCATATACCGTCAGTACAGTTTTGAAACAAACAACAACAAAAACACAATTCACAATGTAAATTACCATAATACAGCGCATGGGCCTTATCACCTTTAAATGCATGTAAAATAACCAACCTGTGATTAATAAAAAATAATAAGGAAATAAATGCAAATGTATTGCAATCCAAGCTGTATAGCACGAGGCAGTCATACAGCTCTACGCTTAAACTACTAGCAAGCAACTTTTGTACCAAAATGCCATTTATGTTCACCTGTGATGATGCACATCATTCATTTTCCAGTTATTAATAACGTGGAAGCACTGAACAATACATTGAGTTCATTTTTAAGCAAAGTTTATAGAAATATTAAATCAACGGAGGGGGAAAAGGTTTAATTTTGAGCTCTACAGGGAGTTCAAGCATTCTGGAATGCTCTATAAAATGTGGTCACAAGTGACATGAGATTATCTCCTTTTTAGGGAGAAATGTGGGATGAATTATGGAGGAAGAGCATCTCTAACGAGGCGTCTTCTCCCTCGGTGGTTTTGTCGGGAATGCAGATGGGAGGCTAAAGAAATTCCGTTGTGCTGACTTTTGTTGACATGCACACTGAAATCTCAATGTTAGAACGACTCGAGATGAGATTCACTGTTTGATGATGTCAGCCGTACCTGTGTGTGTTCAGTGACGTAATGTGAAGATTGCTACCGTGCATATACACTTCGTATCCACCTAAAGCATTTACTAATGTCACTGCATGAAAAAAACTTCAGCTTTTGGCACATAGGCCTACCTTAATTTTTTCGAAAGGGCTATATTTTTGCTAAAATTAAATAAAAAATAAAAAATAAACGCGCATCCTCTTTTGTAGATGGGTAATATTTGTTTTCCCATTTTATGTTAGGAAACCCAATCGCTTTGCCTAAAGGCATGCACTTCAAATACATCAAATTTCTAGGATATCTTACATCTTATGACGCAATTGTAATTTATAATGATGGAATGCGATATACGCTGCTAAAAATGATTAATGCGCGTGTCATGTCAACTGCAGGCCTCACGGACTCGTCTCTACCTTCGCGACTTACAAGACAGGTCCAAGGCATAATCCCTGACGATTTAATACTAAGTGTATCAGGCTATATGATAGGGAAAGTGAAGGGAAAGATATTAAAATCCACACATTGTGCAAAGTTGTAGAATATGACTAATTGGTTCTATGTAATTTGACCGAAAACGTTTTCATTGACAGTAGACCCCTGACCTTAGGAAGCTTAGTATTGCATTTGCCAATGTTATGATTCAATCTCATTTTTACCTTGAAAGTTTTCTAACGCAACATACCCCAAAGACCTCGTAGGATTAATGGGGATGCTGGCTCCTCTGATAACTTAATAAACTTGAGGGCTGTAACTTTTTCCTTCTCATGGGCGGCCATGAGCACAAAGCGGGACGTGTAACTCCCAACATCATTGCCTTTGCCTACAGTTTATTCTGGAAAGCCGCCCGGGGTTGCACATTGGGGATTTCTATTGCGCACAATTCCATTAGTTCACAGTGCTCCAGCCTATTTCACGGATTAAAATCAATGTCCCCTTTCAAATGCATTGCGCCAAAAATCGAAAACGATCGTTTAAAAAAAATCCTTTAGAATTTAGTTGCGTTTCTGAATTTATTTGAATAATAATTCAGCAATAAAGCTACTTACATGGCTATGAGCTAGAATTATTATATGGATTATTCTCTGCATCGGCTTAAACCCACTCTTGAGGGAGCTAAAGAACAGGCAACCAGGTCAGGAAAACATAACCCCCCAGCAGCCAGAGAGACTACATGTTTAAAAACAATCATTCATGCAGCATTAACATTAGAGTATTTTTAAAATATACCTGGACTTACGTGTAGTTGATATACATTGATATAGTAGATAAAAATTTAGTAAATAAATATAATTAACATTATTCATAATACTGAAAACATTCATATGTAAACCAAATAAACCTTAAAATAATCCTGACCATGAACTACTAAACATAAGGTCAACATTTGCACTATTAAGTATAAGTGAGAGACACTTTTGCGCAAAAATAAACTATTTAAAGTCGACCAAAAACTGGCTGGTGCACTAAAGTACG